TCAAAAAATCAAAATGCGCTGTTTCTCCATGGCGCTTTTATGAAATCCCTTTGTTCTTCTCGCCCTTCCCCAAGGGCATCCTTCAACCAACCTCGTTTTTGGTATCGATGGTAAGAATCGATGGTGGGTTGCAAAAATAACGCAACAGCCTCCACACCACGCTTGATTAATACAATCCTCATGGCAAAGAGTAGACAGTGCGTCAAGGAATAGGAACCCTGCAAGCTCAACCTTCTCCAGCATTGCAGTACAATTTGATGATATGTGATATCATCTGAAAATAACGTGCTAGAGCACACCTAGAGGGGTGAGGGGCAAATGGCAACCTTTCAAAAGAACGCGCAGTGAGAACATTTGTTTTTGTAACGCAGTGTTGACGGCTGTGCATGGAAATGGCCTCGGTTGTCATGGAATATCAAGATAAGCCGGTAGAAAATGGGTTCTGTGACGGTTTTCACGTAGTTTTGAGAAATAAAAACATATAGCCCTTCGCCATATCGTTTAAATAGACCTTTAGATGAACGACACGATTCACGGTTACTCTACATCACACGAAAACTTGAGAAACCCAATACGAAAATTATGCGATCCCTATCAGGATGTGTAAAAGCGGATACTCCAGATGTTTACCACGGTCCGTTTACTGCTTCTACTTGAAGAATAAAGCGCTTTAATGAAGAGAATGTAAAAGAGATGTTTTGATAACCAAGTGATAGCAATATCTATTGCGGATTTTCGAGAGACTGGACATCTGTGGCCAACAAAGCTTGCAGAATCCGGACGGCTCAATTTGTTTATCCAACACTATGGATATTTTGCTTGCGGAGTGCTAAATTAATCACGGGTCAGTAAGTTTGCTCTACATCTTCGATGGTAAATGTAAGGAAAGTCGAACATTCCAGTAAGGCAATAAAGGGGCTGATGGTTACACTGCCCTCGTTTGAAATGTTGGTGCTGATGGTGATTGTGCAGAAGTTAGGTGCGAGAAAATCAGCCACCATAAATTTTTTGGAACTATAAACAACAGCTTATTGAAAAAATTAATTTTCATCTTGAATCACATTTTTCACCGTTCCATCGTACAAGAAATTCAGCGTCATTCGGTTACGTTTTCCTAATAGGAGGCTGTGAACACACATCAACTGCTCCTCAGTAATTACACAGGCCTCATTATCAGCATCTCGTTGATGCTGCTTAACGAGAGGCGGAATACTGTGGAGCCACATGTCCAACGTTTAAACTCGGCGGCATAGTAATGGTAAAGTTGTGATAGACATTTTACCACTATGGGTCGTGCAAGGGTGATGCTGACAGCAAAAGTGACCCTAAACCATTTACGTACGTTTTTTCAAAATCGTTCATTACCATGGGCTGAAGCCATACACAAAAGTGTAAGTCACTTTCAATCTGGGGAGGGTGTGAGAATTATTTTGACGGCTTGAACCCAGAGGGGTGGAATGGCTTCAGAGGCCGTACCGAGTTTTGTGTAGTTAAACGTTGTGCCGCACCTTCCAGTATATTCTATAATCAATTCGAGATTAGATTTATGTGGCCCTTAGTCTTCTGTATATGCAGTGTTGTCTGTTATTCAGTTGTCATTGGACGGATGCAACAGAACTGAAAATGCTGCCACTGGTTTTAAATGAATTGAGTCTCTCATGATGCCCTAGTGATTTCGAGATTTACAAAAAGACTGTCGCGCACTTCATGACCGAGGAGCACCATGCGACAGCATCATCCTCACTGGCAGCCAGAAGGAATGTGCACCACATTAAACATCATCATCATCATC